CCATTCCCCATGGGATGACACGGCGTAGTCCTTGATTTGGCTATTCACATCGCCTGGCGCAGGTTCTTCATCAGTTTACTCTGGAAGTTGGCTCACTGGTCTGAGTGTATTCGCTGTGGCATTCGGTAATGGTCAACGAAATGGTGAAGACATGAGTCGGCGGTCGTCTTCGCAGATTGATTCGTTGTCGGTACAGCGACTGCGTAGCGGGCGAAATGGTCGGTTATGACGAAGATGTGCTGAAAATTACCACTCGCCGGCGTGAGTGTCAAAAAATCCAATGCTCACCAACTTCAGTGGCTGAGTCGCACCAATCGACACCAATAGCACTGGATGATTTGTCGCAGACTTCCTTTTCAAACAGTATTGGCTACCCCCAGTTGTTTTGATCTTATTGTGTAGACTCCTTAATACAAATGAAGTTAAATCCTGGCTACGACTAGTTGAGTCTTCTTCTGTCCTATGGTGTCCCTATACAATGTTCCTCCTTCCACTTTAAGTGAGTCGAACGTCTTGTTAGGGTACGGGTTCCAGGCGCTAGGCGACATCTGGTTCCGCTTCGGTCGTGGTCCCCGTCTAACATAATCGATGCACAATACCGGATCTCGTTCCTGTGATGCTCGAGTATCCTGTTGTCCCACATCACAGAGGTCCTGTTGTATGTCCAAATCCAATGATGTGGTGACCGCTAAGTGAATACTTTTCATGTGTGGCTGTCCATACATCATCTGCCACATTGCAGACACAGAATCACACGGAATGGCGATGGTCTCCAGCTTTCCTTTCGTAGGCAGTCTGGAAATGATGTTGTCATCTACGTTGGCCTTTCCGGGTCGGTACTTAATGGTAAAATTAAATGCTGATGATGCCACAAGCCATCAATGTCCTGTCGCGTCGAGCTTCGCACTGGTCAGAACATACGTCAGTGGGTTGTTATGGGTCAAAACGACGAAGGTCTGATCATACAAATAATTTTTCATGCTCTCATTCAATGCCCATTTTTACGCTACAACTCCAGCTTGTGCGCGAGGTTTGCTAAGCGATCGATTGGCGTAGGCAATCACATGCTGCTTATTCTCGTGGGTCTGATACAAAACCGCTCATGGTCCTCTGCCACTAGCGTCGGTGTGGAGCTCGAACGGCCTCGTGTCGTCTGGGTATGCTAGTATAGGCGGCGAAGACGGGGCTGATTTCAAGCGCTAATTTTCTAAAATTGGAAAACGTTTGTGGAATGCCGCCATGGAAACGTTTCATCGGAAGTGGTCCAGACCATCTCTCCGCTTTAATAGCTTTGTATTTGCTAGCGGCTGGTACATCTCTCTTATATGTAAACACGAAACAAACTCACGGTGGCTAGATACGAAAAGAAAACATTGTACCCACCATTTTATCCATCAACTCCAAGTTCCAAGGATTTCTTTACAAATGGCCGCCGTCACAAGTCAAATGGTCTAAAATCTTAATGGGGGTAAAGGAAAATCTCTGGTCGTGAAGCAATGAACCTACATCACTAACATATTTAGCTATCGCATCTTATAAATAGGTTTTATATAAAAAAAAACTGGAACACTGACAGGTCAGCAAGGGCCCCGTCGTGTGGCTATACATTACCATACTCCATACTTACCAACCACAAAATCTGAATGTGTTTTCTTTTAATACTGATTGATATACATGTGCAGTGTAAAGGCGTTCGGACTTTCAGAAGAAAATAAAAAGTCACAAAGCAAGCCCTGCCGATCAGGAATCACTATATTAAGTTTAAGTAAGTACCCGGTTAGACGGATAGAATACCTTCCTTTTCAGCGAGTCGCCCAGAGCACAGTCATATATAAAGCGGAACATTGTTGTATAGTCATGTGGGCGGACAGATAGTTGGACGTTAAGAATCTTAAACAAACAAACAAACATTGTAAAGTCACTTGATTCGGTCAACTGAGCTGTAAACATGGATCTCACCTATATATAGAAATATTTCATTTTATTTCATTTTATTTACGCAAAAATATAACTGTTCTCACGGGGAGTCGAACCACCGAGCACGCTGGGTACCAAGCTAATTATGATTAGATATTGTAACCATTTTCATAGTTCCGTAACTGTTTCATTATATCATGCATTTTTAGTTTACATATATATTGTCTGTAATCATTTTTGTCTTTTTACAATGCACATGCAAAAACATAAAAAATATGTATTTGCATAGTCACAGTAAGGTATACTAATTCTAATAAGTGTGAATACACATTGCCAAATATTATCAGTTATTCTGAAATAAAGAAGGGTACGGTAAATGATATTTGCAGTGTGTGCATTTATTCATCTGTGTATCATATGCTTACATCATATATACATCTTGTCTACGCTTACCACATATATATAATGTCTTGTAATGGTACACAGCGTGGTGCACTTGAGACCAAGAGGTCGGTGGTTCGACTCCCCGTGGGCTAGTTATATGTTTGTGTAAATAAAATGCAATAGAATGAAATGTGGCTGTGTATACGTGAGATCCATGTTTACAGCTTAGCTGACCGAATCAAGTAACAAGGCAATAGCGTAATCCACCTTATATATGTGTTCTGGGACATTCTACCCGTCTAACCGGATTCTTATTTATAGATCTCGGGGTGCTATGTGTTTTTACGGCCATTGTTAGCTTCAAGAAGTTTGCGAACTTTTGGAACATGTATGTATGAAAGACATAACGTTTTATTGAAATGCTAGCTTTAAGTAGGACTACTATAGTACCATATTTGATGGATACATTATTTCCATCAGATTATTGTTGGTCACTCTATGCTTGGTTTAAAATGTGGTATTTTAAGCGCTATTTTTGAAATTTTGCAGCATGATGTACCCTATTTTACCAGCAAAACAATATCCATCCGTTATCACTTAATTGTTTTTTTGTTTTTTTTTTAAATACGCCTTTGTATTATGCTTGTATTTTTTTTAACTCCCAAAAATAGGTTTTTAGTTTTTTAGTTTTTCTTCTAGATATAAGTTGAAAATTGAATAAATTGTGTTACATTTTAAAATCTTCCCACACACAGATAATGTAATTTAACCCAATTTACATGTACTTATCTGTGCATTTTTGTTTTTATTATTAGGACAAGACGGACGTGGAGGAAGGTCAGGGGGATGACAATCAGTGTTCTTTCGAAATAAAAAGGAAATTTCACATCACACTGAAATACAAAGTGTGGAAA